AGGGCTGATCAGAGACTCAAAGCCTCAGCTAGAGGTCCTCCCGATCGTATGTGCCGAACCTCGAAAGTTGGGTAATGTACTTCTGTGTCCACTGCGGGACTTGGATGTGACCAAGCGTTCAGAGATGCGCTTTGACATGGAATGAGGAATGTTGATAACAAGTGGTATATTCTCGCAAAATCTTGCAGCTCTAGCGTGCTCTAAGCATTCCTCAGCTCCTCTGCGCGGCGCATAAAGCCCTAGCCTTCTCCAGTAATGCAAACTTAGTTGTGATTGGGATGGATAGCAGAGTTTTCGAAATCGGGAGCATCCTATGTACTCAACGTACGAGACTCGGTGAAAGGCTTTCGCGATCGGAGTTTTCGCGGTGGAGGAAGAAGACCAGGTCTAGTAGACTGCTGCGGAGTGATGTTAGTGAGCTGGCGGTAGGGTTAACGAGGATGGGGCGAAGGGATCAGGAATTCTCGCGAAGAAGAGTTACAAAGTGTTTCGTGAATCGGCAGTGCTAGCATGTCCTCTCGACACCCGGGGGTTCGCTGAGGTTGAAAGCTTCTGTGAATGCAGTTCATAAGCCACGCTAGTCCGTGTTATTATCAAGTTGTTATTGCGGGGGTATATGTGGTGTTAATTGGAGGAGGAGTGGTATGGGTTGTGTTTCTTGATAGGGTTTTTAATCGAGTTTTTTCGCATAAGAGATGTTATCATCAGCCGCTAGAGCATCGAGTAACTTAGGAGCGAGCACGATAGCTCGGGGAGTCTCCGGATCACCGGCAACCAGGAGGTTCTTCTCAACCATCCTTGTAGCGGAGCAACGAGGAGGCAAACTAGAAAAGGTAAAGCTCTGCATTCCCGTTACCGTCCATAGCTCAGTTTCAGTCATCTCTCTGTGCTGCTACAGCAGCTAGCCAGTTGACTAAAAGTTTCTCCGTTATGCTTGCTGGAGGTAAGGTGTTATGATGCAAGGAACCAGACCTTGCGATTTGTTCATAGGTTCGCGAGAAGCTGCAGAAGCCGCAGCTCGATTACCTGGGGTTGAGAAGGTCAGCTGGACTAGTATTAGCCCCTCGACGTTCACGGTATAGGTCTATCACTGTAACCCTGGCGACGCTGCGCTGGACCACCCAGCAGCCGACACTATTGCTAACGCCGTTGTAAAGCTAACGAAGGAGACGGGAGCTTCTAATGTAGTCGCTGGTACTCATTCCCAGGGTTTCATGCTCGTTGGGGGATCCGGTTCTTAACTCAGGCAACAGCAGTGTTATCAGAGACTCTCTGCCGCGGGCAGCAGCCATGCTAGACACCCAGCCTATCACTGATGTGAATCGGAATGATGCGATCGGGTTAGTGTTATTTTGGCTCTGCTCTTCCAGGTTATCAAGGTCATCTCGAATGACACTTTTAAGAGGCCGATGTATGCTGGTAATGTGATCGCTACAGTGAAGTCCTCGGACCCTGTGAAAGTAGTTTGCCGAAAACCCTTATGTGGTTGATGGTCGTTGCCTAGGTACTTGTTTTCCGGCCAACTGCCTTCGAGCCTACTGAGGTTCCCCAGAACGGTGATGCTGCGGAGATTGTGAATACAGAGATCGATACGGTCGGCTCTAGCATTGTGAGTCAGTGTTGGAGTATGTGTTCGCTTTCCCTCAGCCGAGCTCAGGAGTTTGCTCGCTAATTCAAGGAGTTTACATACGAATTTTCATATTGTCACCAACGGAAGTAGTTGGCCATGTGTGTATTCTCCGACACTGCGGATATAGCATTGGTGATAGTACCTGTCTCAAAACTTTCTTCCCTATTTAGAAATTTGTAAGCGAGGGTGACAAGTCGACTGAGAAGCCCATGCTTCAGACTGCCCAAGTTGTTGTGGCTGGTAATGTCCACACATAGAAGACTTCAGTGTGTTATGGTATCGTGCTTATTCCCAGGTGGGAGAGCTCTGAAAGACAAGGAGACCTTCGACAGCATGTTGGAGCCTCTCGCGGAAAAACTCGGAGCTGCATGTATGTCACCTATTGATACAGTCTGTTCAGTGCTGGTACCTTTTCAGTGGGTGCTACACGTGCTGCCGTCGATGCTGGGTACTGCTCCAACGACTTGCAGATAGGACAGACCGGGAAGGTGGTGGCGCCTCACTTGTAAGTTCATCTCGCTCGCTCACAGCATCCAGGAACTGTGATGTCCGTATAAGGAATCGATTCGATGGTCCTTCTGCTTTACTAAGGAAGTACCCTGTTTGGTGCTATCTCTCATTAATAGAATCAGACATGGAGCGTACTTGCAGGTACATAGCCATTGGTATCTCTGGGGCTATCCAGCATACGGCAGGCATAAAGGATTCGAAGTGCATCGTTGCTATCAATATGGACGCTGAGGCCCCGATCTTCCAGGTAAGCCTCTACGTACTGGTGACAGTCTGATTGCTTGTGTCAGGTTGCCGACTATGGTTTAGTTGGTGATTTATACAAGATCGTGCCGGAGTTAACTGCTAAGCTGTGAAGGCTGCTAATTAAGCCTCCTTGTTTGAGTTTGCAAGTTTAGATTGCGATGTGTGCATTGCTGAACGCAGACACTCTGGCGCCGCTTTCGGAGAAGTTGTTCAGCGTTTCAATAGAGAGTCTCGTGATGAGTCTAGCTTTGTGTCACCGATTGTCTAGCGGGAAATTCGCGCAGGTCTACGGGCGACATATAGAAATACTGCGAGGTAGAAGGTCACGAATTTCCTTTTAGGGTCCATTGTGCGGAATGGATTCTCTTTCGGCGATCTCGACCGGTTTCGAGTGAGAACTAACCTCTAAGGCGAGTATCGCTCTGGTCTAGGAAGGGCCAGGAATCCTGGATGGACATTGTCCATTGGACAACATAGCTGAGAGGCTCCATTCTCTGCAAGATTGTTCCTTGGCGAAAACCTTTGGTAAAAATCTTTCCTATCGCAGTGATGAGTTTTCAAGAGTGACTGGAGCTGCAGGAGAGCGTACACCTGAACTTGTCATAATGCCTCTTTGTCTAACAGTCTTTGAATACCTTCGTAAAGGCTTCTACAACACCCACTAATATCATCCATGGATGGTGCCTGATGTGCAGCTGGCCACACAACACTTTGATGCCCTGTAACACCGCACGGAAAAGAGAGGCGTCTTGCTTTGCCGAAAATCGGATACAGAGTAATTCGAGTCGTGAGAACTGGAGGGCCCACTGAAGGTCGCCCTTCCGGATAAGCTGTCGATCTTCCCACGACCGATCAGTAAGAGCGCTCTTCTGGAGAGAGTCCCGAAGTTCCCACGCGCTTCAGAGCAGGTCCTGAAAGTTTGACAATTTCCTTTGACAAGTCCCAAAAGTCTTACGCTGTCCTGAAGCAAGTCCTTAAAGTTTGACAGTTTTCGGTGACAAGTCTCAAAAGTCTCACGCTCTTCTGAGGCAAGTCCCGAAGGTCTCACGCTCTTCAGAGGCCATCTTGAAGGTCTCCCATTCTTCAGAGATAAGTACACTAATTCGCATGATTTGTATCACATTCTCGGTAAGCCTACGATTTAACTGTGCAGTATAATGAGAGAAGATAAATAACTGCTATAAAGCGATTCACTTCCAGTACTACTACATGTCCTGCCTATATATCCATATATATACCCGCTGCAACCGTTTCACCCTTCCTGCATTTGCATAACATTTCCTTTTGGTCTGAATTTGCTCAACGAGCTTCTTTTTCGGGTGAGTCGGCTCAGAAAGTATCGCTTGTGACTCAACACTATGAGGACTATTGAAAGGGGCCGGATGGTTCTACTAAAAAGTTACTTCTTACATTTCGTTACCGTTTTTAACGAATTGTGCTACGGTAGCACTTAACTGCTACCCTGCGTCTGTCATCTATCTTCGACTAGTATGTTTGCTCGTGTGCTGTTTAAGGTTAGGTAGAGATCTCCCGTATTCTGATATAGTACTGAACAGCGCCCTCCCATAGAAGACTTCTGTCCTGAGCGGATGGCTCACATAGCAGTACGATGGGATTGGCAAACAACGCAAATGTTTGGAGCTGCTCGTTGACTGCGCCCGTTTAAACATCTTCTGGGAGGCTAATACGCTGAGATCTTTCCAGAGATACTTCTTTGTGGCCAACTCCGCTACCAGCTCATTCCCATAACTAGTCGGGAGCTTACTCAAGGCTCCTCAGTAAACAGCCTGATGATAAGTGCTATAGTCATGCTCCAATTTTAACAGACACCTCTTGCTTGCAACTTCCCTCCATCATCCCTATGAAGCCTCGTTAGCTCGCAAAGTGTGGTCTCGTTCGAATGGGCCTGCCTTCTTGAGCTTACCACACACTAGTGCTGACAGTGGGTTGCAGCGCACCGCATTAACGGTGTACACTGGTCTTTTCCAGAGTAATAACAGGCGCGCCGAGTGGGGTCATTTCATACAGCTCAGTCGTGATAAATTTTCAACGGCTCCTTTTTTGGGGAAAAGACTGATTTGTTTTCGCTGGGTTCGACTAGGGATGTGGACGGCTAATGGTGGAGGTACGGGGAGTTTCCAATCGAGGTTCTAAGATATTCCGAGTCCGGTCCTGTAGTAGAGCTTTTATAGTGATGGTTTCTGAGTGGCTTTCGTAAGATTAGTAGCCAATCTAGTAGTTCATCTGGAATTTCCATCACCGATAGTTGTGGCAGTTTCTCTGTGTTGGCTGTGATAAGCTGTATTGACCTAGCAGGAGGAAGATGGCGGCTTGGAGTGGCTTGAGCATAATGTTGATCGCAATAACGATCATGGGATGCCTGTGGGTAGTAGAGGGGTGAATCAGCGTATCCATGGAGCATGCTGCGATCCTGTTGATGAGGCATGAATGGTCCTCCCCAGG